CAGCAACCGAAGAATTTCATTTCTTTTTTTTTTTTTACATTTTATTTTTGACAGAATACCTATGGAGTATCTGACATACAGGTCTAAGGATTAAGACTAAGGTATTCTGGAAGATTTGGTCCCAATTTTTAGAACATATTGGTACTAGACCAGCAGCCATTGTGTTGAAGGGTCTGACACAGTGAGGAAACTACATAAAGTATTAATACTTAACTGATTTGCTGTGGGCTTGCACGGATTTTAATGTATGTTTAATATAAGTGTTTGTGGTGCTGTACCATACAGGAATGTAATACTTGGATACTGCCTCCCCCCTCAGTTTATTATATTATATCATTATAAGATAAGCTATAAGTATGTGTATTTGTAAAATATATAAAACACTTGAAATGAGAAAAAGAAAAAAATTCAGGGCTGTTGCAATTTTGCTGAGCGAATCTGAAGAAGCTGCAAGTGAAATATTGTCCACTCTTAAATAAATCACAGTAAAGTCACTCCAGTGTGCAAGGGTTAATTCTGATTTTTATCACTTTCTGAGTTTGGTTGAATGTGTTGGTTACATCTATTTGTTTGTGTTTATGTTTCTGAAGCTATACTATGACACTATGACAGACTTTGCGATGGATTTCCCCTTTTATACTGACTGGTTGCTGTTTTGTATATATATACATATATATATATATATATATATATATATATATATATATATATATATATATATACTGACCGGAAGAATATGTGGCCAGCCATAAAACATATGTATTCTTATAGATCAAACTATAATTAATTTCCTCAACCTTAACCAGATAAAATATTGATACATTAAAATACAGTTTAATGCATTATTAATAATAATCAAACAATATAGGGGCCAATGTGTTGCCATCATAACTACTTTTGCTTTTGATACATTAATGCTTTATTTTGTTGTAAGAAGTAGTGGAGTATTTTTACAGTGATAATGCTACTTTCGCTTAAAAGATCTGAATACATAAAAATGCATAATAAATACAGATGTGTGAGAATTTATAGGAAAAACCAACACAAACCTCCCTCTTTCTGGAAGCCTCTCTATAGGTGTTCAATTGATTCACATCATTTTCATTCTCATCAAACCATTCATTTCAGGCTTTCCTTTCACTTGTCACCTGTCTGTACTTCTTCCACCACTGCTTATTCATATATTTTAACTTGATTTCCTCTAGCTGGTGATATATTTGTATACAGACAGATACTGTCCCTATGCACGAGATTACAGACTGGATGTTTGACAGATTTTATTTTTATTTTTATATGATGTAATATGATATAATATGATACAGATTCATAAACTTGTTTGGATCTTTCTGGATACTGGTCCTTTTTGTCCAGTGTAATTATAATAGTCTTACAATATAAGGGGCATGCAGTCTTCCCAAACAAAATTCACGGTCATCTTAATGCCCTTGATGGTATTTCTTATTTCCTCTTCTTTTTTTCTCATTCATTACACTCTAGGGACTAGATAATGAATTTGAGATGACCTTCTTCGCTTCCTCTAACATTAAGTCTTCTCTTTTCACTTTCTCTACTTTGCTGTTATGTCTCTGCTTTTAATAACTTTGTATTGGGATTGCAGCAGCTCTTTGCAGTCAGTGCAGGCCAGCAGCAGCAGCCTATAGCCACATGGCTCGCCTAACCACCATGGCACCTCTTGGAAGTTGGCGCAGGTCAAATGCGTCTTAATTCAGAGCAAAAGAAATGAGAGAATGGCCGTGAGTCGGGCCGGTTCCACTGGCCGTGCCAAGGTCAGCATTCCTCGACGGGGCCGTTGCCTAGTGGAACTTTTGTTTCAGTTTGTGTAAATCTCCAGGGAGGGACGGTAGCCATATAGGAGCAGGAGAGGAGAGAGCAAAGAAAGGAGTGTGCAAATGAAGCTGCTGTTTGGGTGAATATAGACTGTGTGATGCAGGCAGGATGTATGGGAAGGTATGGACACATTTGAGCCATTTTTGGGAAGTCTCAATGTGGTTTGGAATCACTCACAAATGGAAAAAAAGTCACATAAACATGAACATATAGAGGTAGTCAGGGGCAGATCAAGAGGGCTGGCACCCCTAAAAAAAGCCTGTTTGGTGTCAAATGCTGTCAATTGTAACACATTAATTTAGATTAATTGTAAGAATATCATCTTAAAAAACAGAAAATATTTTTTTGGTCTGTTGTGGTCACATTTTAGACTAAGTGATCCTTATGCTCAAACATACAAAACCATTCATAAAACAGTTTATTGATTTCTAATACCACCTTTAGATATTTTGTGCTTTACTAATGTACCACAATAATGTTTGTGAGTTCTCCAAGGAGATATTGATATATGTGATTGTTATCAGCAGATATTTCTGTCACCCCGTCTCCGTGATCCACCCTCTGGACACCCCTTGAATATGTCTCTAGATCCGCCCTTGGTTAACCTAATAGTCTAATAATATCAGTGATTGTCCAACTTGCCCCGGTGTTATCTAGGCGACGTAAGCGGGTTTAACGGTTTTGGAGATGCTATTAGACGCCATGGCCTAGTTTAGGTTCAGTGATTTGACTCTTTGATCCTCCTGCAGCCACTGCACCATGCCTCTGTTCAAACAAAGATTATTGCTCTGTTAAAACATAACAGCAACATTTAGTCTTTCTAAGCAGATCCTATAAATGTTAAAACGAATCCATGCTTTAATTCACATTTCCAAAATATTTTTTCACCAATATGATAAACGGAAATTAAGATTCCGAACGTTTAAACATCTGTATGCAACACAATAATGTGTTTAGGTCCTATAAACAGGCCAGGAAGTTCAAAGATTCTAAGGTTAAACATCAGGTCAACGCAAAACTAAAACGAACCAAACCGTCTGAGACGAGTTAGTATCTAACTAATAACGTGTGTGTATTTTACACACCTTTTATTGCACATTTTAACCCCGATCTTGCATTACACTACATGTACCGGCCTTCGCGTTTGGACAGAAATCACGCAGCAGTTGGAAGATGTGCGGGTGGATTACATTTCTACACAAACAATGTGTGTTCACGGTGCACTCACTTAATACAATAATAATAATCAAAGGCACTTTAAGAGATGATTTTGCGCACACAGGCCCAGGGACAGTTTATGGCGCAGACTCTGCGGCCCGCTGCCTTGAAAAGGCCAAACACACTTTAAACACACATTCAAATTTCATTCATCAATTTAAAAACTAGTTTAAAACGTAAAATCTGAATTTGAATTTGGGCCTTGAATCTGTTCCATGGTAACTATAAAATATAATAAAATCAAATACACTGATTATAACGAACTTCTTCCTGAAGCTTCTGCAGCATTTGTACAAATGTTTCCGGTTATTTAAAGGCCAAAAAAATGGTGACATTAATAGATTCCTCCCCACTGTCACATCTTTTTTAATTCCCTTTAGCTTATTCTAAGTGGTGCTTGAGGCCTAAATGAATTATCTTTCATGTAGTCTAACTGTTTTTTTTTTTGCATTTTATGAACTGTTTTTTGTTCAAATGAACTAACAGGAACGACGGTTATTAAATGTGGTACTAAATATAAAAGAGTGTGGCAACTCTGTTATATTTAATTACGCATTAATTGACAACATTTTCACATAAAATAAGGGTAAAATGTCCCTGCTTGTAGACAGATGTCGTAGCCAAGAAATGCAAAATGAAAACCTAGAAAATCAACCTGCATGTCGTTCTATTTAAAAACAGAATTATTGGGCCATTAATATGTGAAACATTCCTATTTTCAATTAATAGGCCCAACGTTAATAATATTACGATCTGAATCCGATGTTTCTTTTAACTAAATCTAAATAACAATAGGGATTTCATGAATTCTGTGTTACTGGGGAGGGAAACGGAGGCTCCAGTGAGTTCCAACATTTAAGGATTCAAGCTGCATATTCCTGCCGCATGCCTCCCTGTGAGGAACCGACTCTGAGCCCATAAGCTTTGTATTTGTCTGTTTGTAAAGTGATAAAGTTGAACCAACAGACTCCATTGGTGGCAGGTGGGGATCCATTTTTTGACAGCGCTCATCATTTCCCTGCGTGACGTCTGCGGTTGCGCACTTCCGCGAGGTGCTCCGTTTGCCATATGAGGTCAAAACCGCCACTTTGCTAATTTATTCATGAACACAGTCTGTTCTTAAAGCTTGACTCAGCTGACATTCCGGCTAAATTTCCAGGATAATTTGATATTTGTGGCGAATGAACGCACCTGCTCTGTCTAACCCATCAGCTTTATTTCAGCTCACCTGAAGAAAGCACTGGATTTTTATAGTGACTGTGGATGTAATTGTGAACTATATGGAATGCAGTCCAGTGGTTTGGAGTGGTGCCTGTGCAGAAATCTGTGAAAAAAATATGGTGTTACAAATGTCTAAAATAAGCCTCCACATATGACAGATTATTGGCTGGTGAAAGTTCTCATATTACAGCCATGGCACAATATATAGATCTGTCCAATAATTAACCACCAGAATTCAATCGACCCTGGGTGGTAGAGCTGCAACCAATATGCTCACTTTAACCTTTTTAAAATAATATAAATATATGTGTTGTTGTCGTCAGGCTGGAGGTCACATTGTAGCAACCCTTAACCTGCATCTAGACTGAATGTAAACGTCCCACTGTATTTCACACGCTCAGAAAATATTGGGGTTTATAATAACCTGCCTCCCCCCCATCGCTCCCTCCCTCCCCCCTCTCCGTCGGCCCCGAGCTGCCCCTACACTTTTGCCGGTGAGAGCTACTAATCCCCTGCGTCCACGGTTTACTCTGAGCCCGTATTTAATTCCTCTAAACCCCCAGCTGCCGCCCTGGTTACTCACTGAACACGACAGACTGTGAACCGCTCTGGTTATTAATAATTCACCAGCAGCCCTCCGCTCCGCTTCTCCGGCCGCGGCCGCAGGACACCGAGCGTCCTCAGTGGTGCGCGCCTGCAGCCACGCTGTGTTTTTGTGTGTACTTCATTGTGGCCGCCTCGGTGTCTCGCACATTTCACCTCCTCGTTGCTGCGCTCAGCCCCATTGGCAGTCCCCGGCTGGCCGTGCCCACCACCGAGTCCCCGCTATAGTCTCATCAACTCCGCGCGTCTCTGATGTCGCGACATCCGCGCTGCCACATGGCGAGTTTTGCTCCCGTTCCCTCCGCAACTTTCTCCGGACACTGAGAGGAACAGGTGGGGTCGCTTGGTGTAGTACCAGAGGAGGGACGCTCCGCATTCTCACATCAGCTAAAAGCCGGAGCATGCACAAGGGAGAGCGGGCGCGGCGTCGTCCCCTCTGCAGGAGCAACAGCTGATTCGGTGAGCGCGTAAGCAGAGAGTGCAAGCTACTTACAGTCGGTGCACAGCCAGACTCCTGCTCTGTCACTCGGGGCTGCAGACGGTGACTGTGTCGGAGCCAGCAGAGCGCGGAGAGTCGGTGGACGTTACGGTACCGGGACAGACTGGAGAGCAGCGCGCGCTGATACGGACGGTTTTCATGGAAATACCACGAGCTGAAAGCGAAAATAAACACCTTGCGTGAAGAAGTCGGGAAGCAGACGATTTGGATTCTACGGCTCTGTCTTCCTGTGCCCCCTGACTGAGAAGAGTTGACTGCAGTTTACAAAAAAAGAAAAAAATGTTTACCGGGCAACAGGCCGTGTATTAGGGCTCTTTTGCTTCCGGTATAGGGCCCAGCTGAACAAGAAACCGAGCAGTGTTCTCTCTCCCACACACTTTCTTTCTTTCTTTTTTTTTTTTTTTTTTTGGAAGCCGAACTTTTGAGAGTGGAAAATGGGTCTTTGAGAGTGTTGGCACATTTCCCTACACCACAATGGTACGTGCTATGTAAACCAATAATTTGCTCATTTATGCAGTCAGCTTTCAGATTCATTGTAGTTGTTCATAGATTTAATGATACACAGAAAGAACTTTAAAGCAAAGTTTAGTGGGCTAAGTTAGCCACTTATAATTCTTGTGTGTGTTACTATTTACTTGTGCAGCTAATGGGTAACAGTCACCAAAGAGTGTGCCAAGTCCTTCCACCTAACTGTATATTATGGTAGTATGGTTATTTTTAAATTAGTAGAGTGTGCCTTGTTGGGATATCGCATGTAGCTTCAAAGTGATGTTAATGTTAGGAAAACATAATGCACCTTATTTTAATAGTTAAATAACATTTTGCCAAGATGTCTTCTGGCCAAATCAGTGTCCAGCCCGCTCAGTTGACCACCCGATGCCCACTGCCTTCTGCCGTTTCATCCACATGGAGAACATAACTTCTCTCATTGCAGTGGTCTCTGATGTGGGCCCGTCTGCAGACTATTAATAGCCACATATATGATACGAGCTATCGCATGTCATACAGTGTGAGAAGCTGATCAAGAGTCCAAACCCCACCTAAAAGCAAAGTTGAACCGAGTTTTGAAATTTGGCTATAAGAGGACGGAACTTATTTTTGCTTCAGCGTCCAATTACGCGCCGGTTTGATTTGTGCGTAATTACGCATAGCGGTTTAGACCAGTTCCTTCATTACGCAGGTGATTTATATGTGCAAATCCTGTGACTTCACACAGCAAAAGTTGGGGATCTGCTCCTTTTAAGCACTATTTTGGATTTTATTTGAGCTTTCCTTATAATTTGTTTGTGCTTTCAGAAAATCTATATTGTTTCCTGTTTTATCCCCATTTGGCCCTATAGGATATTAGTCTGAATTTGAATAATGTATGACCTGTGCGGTTGTGAAAGCATTTTAATGCAATGCTTGTAGGTTTCAAAATGAGTAATCTGTTTTATACAGAATTCTGATATATAGCTTACGGGTCCTTGACCATTAGATATTCTTTTTTCTGGCACGAAATGAGTCAAGTCAGGCAATAGTAAGGGGAACCTCCCACATACAACCTTGAAGCTGCTTAGATACCAGGAAGGGATCTTATTTGCACATGAATATGGAAGATTATTAGTATGAATAATTATTTGTTTACGAGCATCCTAGCTGACATGGCAGCTGCCCAAGAAGCTCATCAGTAAAAATGATACAGAATTCAGGACAGGCCTCACATGGGATTATCTCAACTTGTTATTCTCCTACTTACAGCAGCAACACACCTCTTTTTAAAAAATTTTTATAGGAAATGCTATGTTGTGAATTTGTGCCAAGTGTTTCAGTTTCAGTTAGTTTAGTCAGAATGCACTGGAGGCATCTGTCAATCAGTGTCAGGATTCTGTGAGCTTCCCCCGAGGCTGGTGCTCTCTCTCTGACACAAAAATAAACACTTGGGATGATCTGTATCTGTGGCACTACAGGTTATTGATTTTTCCAGATACGCTGGAAAGCAAAAAGGGAACCCATCATGACCCAACATCATGAAACTGTAAACATGACACGTGTTTTAGTTCCAAATGAAAGTTTAAATAGATATCACACCTCCATAATAAGCTGTTTTAGTTTGTTTTAAATGTCGATGCACAGTATAGGAACATAAGAAACAAATGCAGTAATCATAGAGTGTAAATAGCTGTGTAAAGAGTTGGGGTAATTGTATCCTGCTCTGGGTGTGTGTGTTTGTGTGTGCAGCCCGCCTCATGATGATCAGACAAGCGGTTTTCCAGCCTTGTATGATCTCCCTCTTGGCTGTTGCTGCCAGTGATGTCACCCCTTACTGTATACAGAATATCATGCTATTATGTTTGTCCAGGCCTTGACATTTCCCTGGAAAAATAAATAAGGCTTCAAGCAGGCCGTGATAGCTCATGCGGTGTGTAAGCTTTTGCCATAGTTTAAAAGATGGAAACTCTGATATACGCTCAAACAGCGTAAATATTAGGAGAGTGAGCTCAGATGGGTTTGTCGGGTTGATTCGTTTTTAAGCTGTTGTAACTGTTGTGGTACGGTTTTGCAGAGCGACCATCGAGAGGCAGGATCATGTGACGAACTCCTTGATGTGACATTCACATTGAATCAAAAGGAAGAGAAAGTGCCACTTTTGACAAAGAGTGCATGTATCTTTTTAAAAGCAAAGCAACTGGTGGAGGCAGACAGGACTTAAAGGTGCACCCAAGTGATTTAGTATTGCACTTGCCCTGACTTTGGGGATTAATGAGAGACAGACAAAAAATCAGAATCAGAATCAAACCAGCAGAAGCCAAGATACCCTTTTAAGTCACTCTGATGAGTCAAATACATACAAATACCTTCTCTTCTTGTTATATGCCCCTGTCTTTTTTTTTTTTTTTTCAAAGTATTTTTTGGGGCTTTATGATAGAGACAGCTGAAGACAGACAGGAAGGGGGGACAGAGAGAGGGGACGACACGCAGCAAAGGGCTGCAGGTCAGATTCGAACCCTGGGCCGCTGGAGCAAGGACTCAGCCTCAGTACATGGGTTGCCAGCTCTACCCACTGAGCTAACCGGGCGCCTGTATGATCCTATCTTAACTCCAACTCCAAATTGTAACCCATTGCTTCCTGTTAAATGTCTGAAGTCTCAAGCTTAACTCAACATAAGCCTGATGACATCACTGGTTTTCTGGTTAATGAGCGTAGAGTGTCTATAACAACTATTTTTTAATCATTAAAATAATAAAATGAAGACAAACACTTTGCAAGGTACAAACCAATGAAAGCATTAATTAATTAACAAGTATACAGACAGTTCAATGCTCCTCTTGATTTTTACTTACCAATATTACAGGTCTCATCTTCAGGGTCAAGTTTATGAAATAAAGTGTTCTAGCATTCAGTCTATTTTTACCTGCATTTCAATTAAAACAGACACTCACAGGGACAAAAAGCTGTTTTATGAGTGGTGCATTTTCTCTTGAAAAGATGAATGGTGATTTCATCAAAAGTACTGTGATTAACTTGTGAGTGGAGAGCACTGTGTGCCAGGTGAAAGCTGCAGGGTCCCTTTTGCAGCCTGTCTTCATGACTTGTTTAAGTTTTGTTAAGAGTTAAGAGGTTTGTTCAGAGCTGTGGTTCTCAAACTTTTTTCCCCACGATCAGCTTAAAACATGTTTGGTAGAAAAGAAATGCCTATATAAGGAAGTACAATATAGCACTGCTCCATCAGTGTCTGATTTATTAAGAAAAGCACTTAAATGCTTTATTTCAAATGTTTAGAATCCATCACTAAAGTCATGGCAAAACAATTCTTTGCCATCATTCTAAGATGGCATTGAAGTTGCATTGAACCTGCAACTTCAATGATTGCGTCTTTTTGATAAGTTGCTTACTATTTAGTGGGAAACATGCATGGCTCGCTTCACTGAGGATCTTTCTCGGTGACAGGCATCTGCTGCGATCGAACTAGTTTCCAGAGCTTTTACTACACTTGGCAGCTTATGTCAGATAATGATTGCATTGAAAAATGGAAATGTTGTATTTAAATTGTGATTTATCAAACCTGTAGTAGAATTAATTTAAGAATTATGCATGACTGATATTTTTTCAAATTAACATTTAACAATCTCTAGGGGTGCGCATACGTCCATTGTAGAAACACTGGTTTCCTGTGAAGGTCCATTGTGTAGGATGTAGTGGCATCTAGTGGTGTAGTTGCAGATTGCAACTCACTTGTTTCACCCTCCCTTTGCGGCCGCGAGGGAGAAACTATGCGAAATATGCAAAATACACCAAACATGGTTGTTCCACATGGCGGCTGCCACAAAAGGCGCTGTATATAAACAGCTCATTCTATGGTAAGAAATACACAATGATTCCTACATTCAGGTGATTATACACTAATGAAAACATACCTATGAATATTGTATTCCATTTCTGACAATAGATCCTCCTAAAAGTTACACTGTACCTTTAAATAAGTAATATTAAAATAAAGCAGAGGTATGAGGATAATTTGACACAGATCAGATCAGATCAGATTAGTTTGCTTCAGAATCACCACAGCACATCAGAAATCACTGACAGACTTCTTGAACTTGTTTTAACAAAAATACAATGCTCAGACTTTTTGAGATGGATATTTTTTGCAGTGTAGAGGACGCCTTACTTTGTCTCATCAAGCTCGGGCTGATCACATAACACTCCTAACTCTTCCATCTCATTTCTAACCCTGCCTCAATTACTTTATCAAGACTTAACCCTCACATTAATTGGTTTCACAAGACACCCCAGACTGCACACCAGCTGTGTAACCAAGTAATTTGAATCTACTTAATTTGGGAAGGTGTTGGTATCTGCCTTCCGAGTTTAATTTGGAAAAAAAAAAAATCACAACAACAATACATGTATTTTCTCTGTTCACTCTCCTCTTTAGGGCCTTAATGAGGAATTAGAGCCAATAGCATTATTCATTAAACAGAGCTTGCCAGCTATTTATCACTGTAACAATATTAGCATATTTGTTTAAATTTTCAACACTTTTTTTTTTGCATTCGTAACCAGGTTTAGCATTTTTAATAATCTGGCATCAAATGCATCGTACCAAATTGAATGCTGAAAAAGAACCAGTGGCAAGCCCCAGAAACATACTAAAAATCCTTTATAAACACACACTCGTACACACATTCGTACACACTCCTCTAATTACCGCCTCCCCTGCTCCCTGTCTCATTCCTCACCTCCTGAGATGCAGGTGTAAAATATCACATTTTTCCAGCATTTCTCCCTGAGGTGGCACTGGCTTGGACTCAAACAACGTAAAATTTCCCCTTTCATATTCCCCCACACATTTTTTTCTACAAACAAGTTCCCCCTCCCATCCCTCCCTCTCTTTGATGTGCTTGCCACATCTGCACAGGTTTGTTAGCTTGTTACCAGGTGAAGAATGAGGATACAATTAAGGCTGAATGAAGTGGGAGCGGGTAGGATGTCG